CGGATCGCCGCTATAGGCTTATTAAAAATGAACAAGACTGCTCGTATCAGGGCAAAGCCCTGATTGTTCCGACTGCCTTTTAAGGTTTTATGGAACAGTAATAACATTAAAAAATTAAATGTAATAAAATTGTAATAAATGTAATAATGAAATTTTTTTCTTCTAAAATTTGAAACTTTTTCATGAAAATCATCCCCCCCCCCACACGCCATTTAAAAAACAAAAAGATAGATTTAGCTCCTTGCAACAAACCAATTATGGCAAACAAGCTTCTTTCAACCAATTTGGAACGATTTTAAGACGGATTAACTCTCCGCTTACGCGTTAATTGCGCGAAATGTATCGCGCGTTATTTGTCCCAAATTGGCCGAAATGGCAATCTTTAAACCCCCATAACTTTACGAAAAACAATCACAGGTGAAATATCTTTTCAAATTTGAGCTCAGGACAACAATGATATAAAAACAATTCCGTCAAAAATGGCTAGCTAAAAAGTCGAAATTTGTCTGAAGAAAAAAACCACCCCGAGCACAAATATTCCGTTACTTTCGTTTTGAAAGTAGGAACAATAAATTCTGAGGGCCAATATGGGTCTTGGTTTTAAAAGAAAATTGTTTTCAACTAAGTTGATCAATAAGACTCTAGCTGAACGTAAGGATATAACTTCCTGAAATTATAGAACCTTGCGTTGTTTGTTGCCACTCTTGATTAAAGTGATGGGATATTTCGACTATGAGTATTTTCTTAGACAAATAATTTTTTTAATTTGGTTTTTGCGGAATTTTCTATCCCATAGAAATATCGAATTTCTGAGCTCAAAATTAACGCTTTTTGGGCCGAATAATAGTTCGTATACTTAGAAAATATCACTTAGTATTTTACAGTGCTTGTGGAGAAGCGAATTGGAGGGGTGTTGTCTCCGAAAGTTGAAAAAATCTTCGCATTTTTTGCAGTTTTATTAATTTTTTAAACCACAAACTAAATCAGAAACTCTAAGGGGTAGATATAGTATATAATGGGGGATGGGGTTAAGTCTGATCCCCTTCTTCGTTCCTCCGCAGCTGGTTGAGACAGTATCCACAACTGGTTGAGATCAGTTTTCCTCACTTCTTATTTGTTTTTTCTTTGTCTCCACGAGACAAATTATCACAAATATTCAGTCAAATCAAAGATTGAGTTTATACGTCCGATGTTGACGATAAAGGAATGGGCTTTTATTTTTGCTAAATGGATGTTTTTTTGATGCCATTGAAGTGCTCAAGTATAAATTCATTCTTCTTTTTGATTTACTGAGTTCCAATTATAGGTAATATTTTAAAAAATATATATATTCTCGTAAAAATAAAAGACGTTTATGACGAGCTTTGAGTTTTTTAAAAGAAGTTATTGTATGATCAAAAATCCAATTGTTTATTTCTTACAGCACAATGGACAATTTCAAACAAGAATGAAGCACTATTAATGTTTTCCTTCAATAAGCCTGCAAAGGAAACTATAAAAAAGGCATTTTTCAAATTGAAGCTGCGAGCCTGAATTCAGTTTCTTTTATCAGGGCTTTCGCGATTCTGGGGGCTAAATTAAACAATAATTATCATCAATAGCTTATCAGCAATTTCAAGTTGGTAATTTTTGAGTAACAAAAGAAGGCGAAGTTCGCGTGCCAGTTTAATTGTGGGTTTCCTTTTGTGGTTGTTGCTTCGCCGCCCAGTTTTCTTCTTGATTATAAACAGGCTATTCACTGAATGCAAAAATGTCTCGAAAAATAGCAAAGCCGCAAATTTATTGATGCGGCTTTCGAGGAAAAGAGGGAAGTATTCTGCTCGTTGTTATTATTTTGGCTTTCTAACTTCGACTTTGAACTAACTTTTTTTCGATCAAAATTTTTAACATCATCTGAAAAACATTGATACTTTGAGCTGAACTAAATAAATTTATTTTGCCTCTGTTTCGTTTTGGAAAATGAAGATCAGGTAAGCTTGATATAATTTTGTGCTAGAAACGCGTGACTGACAGTTTAATTCGGCTTAGCAACGGCTTCAAAATGATTTGAGGTGATCTGTATGGTCTGATTTATACAAAAATAGACGTTAAATGTACCATTTTATTCTTCAAAAAAAAACGTATGGGTCTAAAAACTTTCAGAAAAAATTAAATATTTTCATTCTGTAAAAATCAAAATTGCTTTCGTAGAAGTTGACGAGCAGTTGGAACATTCAGGGGCTTGCCTTTAGACAAGCAACCTTGTTTCTTTACCCAAAAAATTCTCAGAAAATTTCAAAAGTTATTGGTTTTTGTTCTGACTTTTGAACAAAATGACACAATAGTTCTGCTTGGGCTGGGTTTTTGTACCAGTTGATTCAGATAACTAGAATTTACAAAAATTTATACCCACAAAAAAATCAACACCCTGAGTTCAATTGATAAAAAAAATTTTATTTCGGATTTTTTTGCAAAGTCCGGAGGATTTTAAAATTGTAAGCTTTTGGTTGTTTTAGAAGAAAATTATGGACGTTTTGAAAAAACTTTGATAACGCTGGAAGCCTTTTTTTCACATAAAAAATTGCAAAAAAAAAACAACTCAGCTTGCAAAACTAAAATCAGCTCAAATTTTACGTTTTTCTGAAACCTTGCTCATTTACTCAGTCAAATTCTGGCAATAAGAACACCTCTCTAACTAAAGTACTTTGTTCTTTGACTAAAGAACATATGCAAAAGAACAGAAACAGACAAACATCACTCAAAGTGCCACAGGAAGATAAATCAAAAACATACGCATTTCAGTCTTCTCTTAATAATTATAACAAGACTGCTCGTTTACCAGGGAAAAGCCCTGAATGTTCCGATTGCCCCTTATTTCATATCAAAGAGTGAATTTTTGAGTCGTACAAAATTAATACGACCCATCAGCTAGCCTCAATCCAATTTGCAACATTTTCGTTGGGCGGGATAATTGGCCACGCATAAACAATTTGCGTTACGCTTTCAGGGTTATGGATAAATATTTCAAAGTGCGCTTAAATTAACACAGAGCATGGCCAAATGGCATTTTTCAAAATACCAATACTTTGCAATAAATTAACGAAGCTAAAATACCTTTTAAAATTGATTTTACAAAGACGATATCTTCAACGGGTCACAAAAATATTTTGTTTAAAACTATTCTTTCGATGGCAGAAAGTTGACTGAAAAAAAAACCACCCATGCATAAAAATTAATTCCGTTTTCTTCGAAAGTCGGAACTATAAAATCAAACTGCATAAACTGCGAAAAAATGATAACCGCAGTCGCGCCAACGTCTGGCGAACTTTTCCAAATTGGTGTAAGATTTTATCCGAAAATTAAGCCGACTATCCCAGCGAAGCGGAGACTTGCGTAAAGCGCGCCTATTCGTTATCCTGAATTGATGACCGGATTCGTAGTGCTTGACTGTTAATATCACTTTGTTTTCCCAACCAACTAAATCCATTTATAAGATGTTGGTCATTTGAATGCTTATTTTTGAATGCTTGAAGGTAGTTATGCCGTTTTCTCTATGCCGTTTTAATCACCCCGTGATATTTTATTTAATTTTTTAATCAAAAAATTGTCGAGTCCAGGTAAAGGGCAGCCGAATTATTCGGGTCATTCATTTATATCGAGCAGTCTTTACGTTTTTTTTTTACTTCACATTAGCCGAGCTTGTAATCTGATCTTCAGCTCTGATATGCACATTGAATTGTAAGTTCAGTCTTAAAATTTGACAGTTATTGGCCCAAAGTGATCAATTGACCAAATAAACTATCAACTTCCCTTTCCTCCAACAAATAAAATACGAGTATAATAGAATAATAACCAGTTATAACTAATACACTTGGTGAAGTTTAAGTACCCTTAAGCTTAGAAAATTAGGTTACATCAGCTATTTCATCCTTGAGGGTAACTAAATCAGAGGTAGGCCCTGGTTTTACTAGATCACCAGTGCGCCAATCAATTGATCATATTGCTCGCGAGGGGTATACAATTAGTAGTATTATTTGTGATATCCCAAGGTTTTTTCAATCCTTAAGACTAAAAGAAAACAGGGCGATTCACTCAGAGCCGATATAAAGTTCGATGTCACCAGGAAGCGTGGAAGATCAAAGAAAGAACAAAAAGAAACACATTTTGCTGTAAAATATTGGTTTGAAAACATCCACAACTTCAGTAGTTTTTCAGCCACCGAATTCATAGCAACTTCTTCCTTGAGAAACTTTACTAGGCGCATCTCAGTTGTACACATTGAAACTTAATCAATATAATTCAACAGGTTTTTTGGCACCCTTTAATTAACTAATATAAATCCCGTCTACTATTATATTACCTTAAAAGTGTACCTACGAACTTACATTGTAGTTGTTTGTCATAATGGTTTTTTTAGTAGCCGATAAGAAAACTGCGGTTCCTTTACCTTTCCCGCACTCAGTCAAAAGAGAAAATAATTGATTATAATGGATTTTTAATCTCAGTCTCCATAAATTTCAAAAAAAGAGGTTATAATCGATTATTTTCGATACAAAAAACCCGTTATAATAGATTATTTTTTGAAAAAACTATTTCTGAAATTTTATTGAATCACAATCCATTTTATTTGATTATAGTCCATTTTTACTCAAAAAACGTCAACGGTTCATTTCGTTTTAATTTTGTTTTGTTTTGTGTGCTTTTCAGTTGGTGTCTTTTCTTTCTGTTTACTGTTTACTTTCTTACTGTCTACTGCAAGGACGGATTTAGGGGGGGGGGGGCGGACGTTATTTTTCAGGGATCCTCATATCCGCCCCTGGATTACTGATTTCTTACTGATTTTTTTTTTGAGTTTTCATGCAGAATAGCTAAATTATAATACATTAAATTTCATTTTTCTTTTTAAAAAAAAATTTTGATAGAAAACGGGATTATAATCTATTATAATAGATTAAGAGATTAGAAGAGATTATGAAACATTTTCGGAAAAATGATAATTAATTATAATTGATTTTAACTTATTAAATTGTCACCAAAAATATTATCAAAATAATGGATTATAAGTCGTTTAAGCATCTAAAATTGGCGCAACTAATTAATTAAAATTTTGCTAAAAGTACGATTATAATTATAATATAATCGATTATTTTCTCTTTTTACTGAGTGCAGGTTTTAATTACGTCCTCATATTATACTGAAAATCAAAGTATTTCGTTTCTAGTATCTAGGTGTGAAGAAATAGTATTGCTGATTAAATCGCTTTTCCGAAATTAGTACGGAATAAGAATTCTTGTTTTGACAAATTTTTGACGTTTTTAATAAGTCTTGAAATCAAAAGTTAAACCATACTGCTCGTATCAGGGCGAAGCCCTGAAATTTCCGATTGCTTTTTAGGTCTATGGAGCAGTAATAACATGAAAAAAAATGTTATTAAATAAAACAAACGTTTTTTTAAAGTTTGATATTTTTGTGAAAATCATCCCTCACACGCCATATACAGGACAAAGCGACAGATTTTGCTCCTATTAACAAATCAATTATGGTAAACAAGCTTTCTTGAACCAATTTGGAACGATTTCTAAGACTGATTAAATCTCCGCTCACTCGTTAATAGCGCGAATTATATCGCGCGTTAATTGTCCCAAGTTGGCCAGAACGGCAGTCTTTAAACCCTTTTTTAAATTTGAGCTCAGCACAACAATATTTTCTGAATGATTTTTAAAAAATTATTCAAAAATGGCTAGTTAAAAAGTCAAAATTTGTCTGAAGAAAAAAGCACTCCGAGCACAAATTTTCCGTTTCTTTCGCTACGAAAGTCTGAACAAAAAATATTATATCTGCAACATATTTTTGGAAAGTTATGAGGTTAGGCCATTTTCGACCGTTTCTCTCCAATTTCCGCGCAAAACGTCGAGTTTTTTTATGAAAGCGAACGGTAAGCGGCAATTTATTGTTGCTCATACAGTATTTGAATTGGAGTGATCTAAAGCAAACAAACTGATTCAAATAGTTTAATATTGACTCAAAGTTTATAATTTTGTCCTTGACATTGCTTGTGGGAGTTAAATTCTAAAACAAACTTATTTAGCTTCTTGATTTTTTTCTGGAAATTTGATCTTGCTATCACTCAGATCTACATCATATATGTCAAAGAGCAGTCGAAACTTTGAAGGCTTCAGCCTGATGCAAGCCTTCTTTTTGGTGACTTTAGAAGAAAGTGAAGGCATACTTGGTCTCGGGGTGTTTTTCTTCTACACAATGTTTGACCGGTCAACCAGGTAGCCATAGCAGAATGTTTTTCTGCAGTCTGAAGTGTTATGATATGATGAGCCCAGCATAAAAACAAATATAACCTTTTAACCTCTGATAAACTTATTTTTGAAAGTTGCTAAAAAGGGTAACTGGTGCAATTAAGGCGCAATATGTTTTGCCATATTAAAGCGTAAACGGTGTATACATCAAATCAATATAGTTTCACACTTGCAATTTAGTGACGCTGGAAGACGCTGAAAGACGCTGAAAGACACAAAACATGACGTTGAAAGACGCAAAACTTATCTTTTGTACTTTGCATAGTGTTTCAGAGAATGAAAAGAGAAAAAAAAACAGAAAAAAAAATTTAAACTTGTTTCCTGTTGTTTTTCTGACGCTTCCCAATGATACTTTCGATTTTTTTACTGGCTATTTTTAGAGGTATATCACATGTGAAAACGTTTATGCCCTCACATAAAACTAAAAATGTCTTTCAACTTCGCTTTATATAGGGATAAGTTATATGACTAATTTGGTTAATTTGAGATAAATTGTTTCAGTGTTTTCTAATAAAACTTTTTAAAATTTATTTCTGTCAATTGCGTATCTAGCCAGGAGTTTATGATTTTGTATCAGATGTTAAGTGTACGGTAAAATTTTCAAAAAACAAAAGATTTTTTTTTGTTATTTTTATCGTTTTTCAACTATTAACCTGAACACAAAACAACGAAGCCTTTTTTTGCTCCAAATGTCGAAGCAGTTTGCGGAAATACTATGGTAGACCATTTTTTTTTCAGATAAATTTTGACAATTGAGAGGAATTTTAATTTATCAACTGAAAAATGCTTATGTTCACAGCTCAAAACTAAAAAGAACCTGTGACCATAGTATTTCCCCCATTTAAACCCCCATTTCTTTAAACCCCCATTTTAAACCCCCATTTCATTCGAAATAGAACAAGACTGCTCGTATCAGGGCGAAGCCCTGAATGTTCCGACTGCCCATTAAGGTTTATGGAGCAGTAATATCAATAAAACATTAAAAGTAATATTACAAAATGATTTTTTTTTTCTTCAAAAATTTGAATTTTTTTTTTATAAAAACCATCCCCCCACACGCCATATAAAGTACAAAAAGATAGATTTCGCTACTTGTAACGAATCAATTATGGGAAATAAGCTTCGTTAAATCAATTTGGAACGATTTCTACGACGGATTAACTCTCCGCTTACGCGTTAATAGCGCGAAATATATCGCGCGTTAATTGTCTCAAGTTGGCCAAAATGGCAATCTTTAAACCCCCATAACTTTACGAAAAATGATCACAGGTGAAATATCTTTTCAAATTTGAGCTCAGGACAACATTACCTTTCGAATAATATTTAAAAATTCTGTCAAAAATGGCTAGTTAAAAAGTCGAAGTTTGTCTGAAGAAAAAAAAACCACCCCGAGCACAAATATTCCGTTACTTTCGTATCGAAAGTCGGAACAATAAATAATTGAAAGTTTACGCGTGATATTTTTTGTCCTATTAATCCTAAATTAATTCTAATGTTTGCCCGTGTTTCAACAATTTTCCCAACTACAAATTTTTTGATCAATCTTAAAGGGCTGTCGGAAAATCAAATTTCTCCTTGAAAGGAGCTGTCTTATTGTTCCGACTTTCTTAACAAAAATAATGGAATATTTCTGCTCGGGGTGGTTTGTTTTTACTCTAGACAAACTTTGACTTTTTAACCTGCCATTTTGACGGAATTTTTTTAAATCAATCAAAAGATATTGTTGTCTTGAGCGTAAAATTGAAAAGATATTTCATCTGCGATCATTTTTCGTACACTTATACGTATTTAAAGATTGCCGTTTTGGCCAATTTAGGACAATTAACGCGCGATATATTTCGCGCTATTAACGAGTGAGAAATCGTTCCAATTTGGTTCAAGGAAGCTGTTTTACCATAATTGATTTGTTTATAAGCTTAATGAAGTAAGTTTTGATTTATCATTAAAATTGAAATTTTTTCCGTCCACAAAAAGTGTAAAATCCACAATGATATCTCTCGTTTTATAGTATGCTTGGTAACAATTGGCTTATTGTTCCGATTTCGTAACGAAAGTAACGGAATACTTTTTCTCGGGGTGGTTTTTTTCTTCAGACAAATTTCGTCTTCTTTTCAACTAGCCATTTTTGACTGAAATTTAAAATCTCATTCAAAAATTATTGTTGTCTTAAGCTTGAAACTGAAAAAATATTTCAGCTGTGATAATTTTTCGGAAAGTATTGGGGCTTAAAGATTGCCGTTTTGGCCAATTTGGGACAATTAACGCTCGATATATTTTGCGCTATTAAGATGTAATTCGTCTTAGAAATCGTTCCAAACTGTGTGAAGGAAAAGTTACTTGCCTTAATTGATTTGTTACTAGGAGATATATTAATTCATCACTTTGTTATCTATATGTCGTGTTGAGAGGTGATTTTCACATTGTAAAAATTTCAAATTGTAAAAAAAATCATATCATTTTTAATACATCATTTTTTCATGCTATTACTGCTCCATAGACCTCAAAAAGCAGTCGGAACATTCAGGCTTCGCCCTGATACGAGCAGTTTTGTTCATCTCTGTAATCTTTACAAAAACGATGCTAAAAGCATAATAAGGAGAAAAAAATTGGAGATGTCTTTATTCAAAAAGATCTTCCGAGACTAAAAAAAAAAACACTCGCTGCCCATTAAAATCCATTTTCCAATTTTTGCTGCTAGTCTTGAAGTGTTAGGAGCGCATTGAATTTATCTTCAAAAGTAGAATTGGAGTTGAAAAATGTAAAATTTTAGAGTTTGAACGTCTCCTTATTTTTTTGCTTGAGACAATATTTAATTTGTTCACTGTCTAATGCATAATTATTGATCAAGTGAACAAAAACACGACGGCAAAATTGCAATCATCAGGCTCAGGTTTTGCTCCCTTCAATGACCACTTGCGCCCACCATTATTTCAAATGAAATTTATTGATGCGTGAACTTCAGTCGTTTTATTAAACATACCCTGTTTTAATCTTCTGCTGACGTGTGGATATGGTTCCTTTGTTGCTTTATAAATGAAAGGTACGTAATCACAATTAAAACTGATCACAAAAATGGCAGCAGACAAATTCAAATTGCTATTTTTCCTAGTTTGCTTGCCAGTAGATTTCATTTTTAACTAAATCTTGTAATCTTATATGCTTTTCAAAGATTTACAATTGCATGCAAAATACTAAATTAGCAAGAATTTCAAAAAATTTCAATCTACCTAATAAAACCATTTGTTTTGATACAAAAGGCTTGAAACATTCTTAAAAAGCAACAAAGTTTTTCTTCGAAATTATAGAAATCAATGTCACTTTAATTTTTTTATTAGAACAAAACTTCTTAATTATGCCTAAACTATGGTCTAGGGTACATTTTCATACCATTTTTTTGTTAATAAAAAGACTTTTAATTACGGTCTAAGCTATGGCCGAGATTAGTAGGTTAGTTTTTCATAACACAATATGTGCAACAAAAAGCGCCCAAGGGGAGGGGAGGCATATTTCTTATTTTTTGCTGAGAATTTTTTTCTAAAAATGTATACACTGAGCAGCTCACTCTCCTCAGTATGCAGTCCCACGTGCCCCAGACTTTCTGAACGACCGCCTGTGATCTTAGAACCTCCACTGTTTCCCGTCATTGTTTTTTTTACTCTTGACAACGAGTAGCACAAGCTACTTTCAATTCAATATAACTTCACTGGCTTGCCGTTCAATTTAATAATTTTTTGATCTACAACCACGCCCATTCGACACGAATTATTGACACACTTTTTGAAAAAAAAAATCCAATTGTTCAAAAACATGCAGGAAAATGCCGAAACATTTTTACGAAAATGTCGAAACAATTTTACGGAACTATCCCCCGTTCTCTTACTTTGAATCCATCGAGTAAAGGCAGGTGCGGCGGGAGGAGGTGGGACGCCCCCTTTAAGGATTCGACCCCATAACTACCCAAATGGTGCCACCTTTCCTTTTTCTTGAGATATACATTTTTGGCTGACGAACCTAATAAAATTTTTCTAAAGGCGCCATGGGCGCTAATTTATTCTAATTATAATAATGGCTTTATCATAATGCAACAAGTGCAACAAAAGCGCCCAAGGGAAACCGTGTTTTTTTTATTCTCAAAAAAATACAAGATTCTCAGAAAAAGGCTTCAACTATGGCTTAGGTTGCTTTTCATAACGCATTATGTGCAACAAAAAACGCCCAAGGGGAAACTTGTTTTTTATTTTTGCAAAGACAACATTTTAACACAAGGTAAAAGCTTTAGCCTAAACATTACGAGGCCAAACTATGCACTGGATGGGCGCACAATTTTGTGTCTGTATGTTTCTGGATTTCAGTCACAGGTCTTTAAACATGTTAATATTTTGTCGAAACGAGCATAGGAAATAAAAGAGCAAAATAAGAACAAAGGCAGCGTCTTTGTTGCGGAATCCGTATACAATTCGCAAAATTCACAGTTTAGTCTCTTAATGAAGTTGCTTTTCATAACAATTGCAACAAAAGGCACCCAAAGGAAAGGGTTTTTGTTTAAACTTTTCGATCAAGAAATCCCAAAGTTTGTCTTAGGTTGCTTTTGCATATGTGCATATATGTGCAATAAAAAGCGCCCAAGCGAAAATGTGTTTTTTTGCTAAGGGCTAAGTATTGCAAAGAGCGATTCTTTGTTATGCATCATGTACAAAAAAAGCGGCATAGATAATCATATTTTTTTAAGACGAGGTTCTTAAAATGTGCCTACAAATTGGCCTAGAAAATTTTTTCGAGAAGGAACATGCAAACGAAAAGCAGTCAAGGTGAAGCATATTTCCGACAAGTTTTTCAAAAACAGATATAATAAATGGCCGTGATTGTTTTTTTTTTCATAACGCAACATGTGCAACAAAAAACGCCAAAATTTAAACCTAAATATTTTGTTTTGTTAGAATTAGGTTTTTAAAAAAGCCTAAGGTATAGCTTGGTTATTTTTATTAGAAACAAAAAGCGCCCCAACACAATCAATACATTTTTTGACGGTACAAGTTTTTAGTAGAAGCTTAAGTTTTAATCTAAATGGATTTTTCATAACGCAACTTTTGCAATAAAAAGCGGCCTAAGTAGGCACAATTTTCAGTTTTTGTGATGACAAAATTTTTGAATGTGGCCTAATTTATGGCCTAGTTTGATTTTCCATAATGCAACATGTACAAAAAGAGGCTAATGTAAGCATTTTTTCCTTTTCTATCATTACAATGTTTATATTAGAGGCTTAAATAAAGCTCTAGTTTGCTTTTCGCATAACGCAACTTGTGTAACAAAAAGTGCCCATAGGAATTTATGATCTTTTTGCAAAGACAAGATCTATAGAAAAAGTTTTTGAAATTAAACCTAGAAGACTTATTCATAACGCATCCTTTGCAATAAAAAGCGGCCTATGCAAGAACAATTTTTACTTTTCGTGAGGATAAAATTTTCAAATATGGCCAAAATATGGCCTAGTTTGCTTTTTCCATTAGGCAACATGTACAACAAAAAGCCGCTAAAATAAACATTTTTTTATTTTTATCAATACAAGATATATAAAAAAAGGCCTAAACAAAAGTCTAGTTTGCTTTATTATAAAAAAAATCTTTAGCAAGAAACTGCCAAAGGAAAACTTGTTTTTTTCTCAAATGCAAGCTGGCTGGTTAGAAAAAGCCTAAAAATTGGCCCAGATAACTTTTTTTAACGCAACTTTTGCAACAGAATGCGGCCGAAGTAAGCACAATTTTTCTTTTTCGTTAGGACAAGATCCTTGAATACGGACTAAATTATGGCATAATTTGATTTTTCCCATTGCACTATGTACAAAAAAAAGCGGCCATGGTAAGCATATATTTTTTTTTGTCAAAACAAAAATTTTTACAAAGGGTTTAAACAAAGGTTCGCTTTACGCAACTTGTGTAACAAAAAGTGCTTATAGGAAATTATGATCTTTTTGCAAAGACAAGATCTATAGAAAAAGCTTTTGAAATTTAACCTAGATGACTTTTTCATAACGCATCCTTTGCAACAAAAAGCGGCCTATGCAAGAACAATTTTTACTTTTCGTGAGGATAAAATTTTCAAATATGGCCAAAATATGGCCTAGTTTGCTTTTTCCATAAGGCAACATGTACAACAAAAAGCCGCTAAAATAAACATTTTTTTATTTTTATCAATACAAGATATATAAAAAAAGGCCTAAACAAAAGTCTAGTTTGCTTTATTATAAAAAAAATCTTTAGCAAGAAACTGCCAAAGGAAAACTTGTTTTTTTCTCAAATGCAAGCTGGCTGGTTAGAAAAAGCCTAAAAATTGGCCCACATAACTTTTTTTAACGCAACTTTTGCAACAGAATGCGGCCGAAGTAAGCACAATTTTTCTTTTTCGTTAGAACAAGATCCTTGAATACGGACTAAATTATGGCATAATTTGATTTTTCCCATTGTACTATGTACAAAAAAAAGCGGCCATGGTAAGCATATATTTTTTTTATCAAAACAAAATTTTTAAAAAGGGTTCAAACAAAGGTTCGCATAACGCAACTTGTGTAACAAAAAGTGCCTATAGGAAATTATGATCTTTTTGCAAAGACAAGATCTATAGAAAAAGCTTTTGAAACTTAACCTAGATGACTTTTTCATAACGCATTCTTTGCAACAAAAAGCGGCCTATGCAAGAACAATTTTTGCTTTTCGTGAGGATAAAATTTTCAAATATGGCCAGAATATGGCCTAGTTTGCTTTTTCCATTAGGCAACATGTACAACAAAAAGCCGCTAAAATAAACATTTTTTTATTTTTATCAATACAGGATATATAAAAAAGCCTAAACAAAAGTCTAGTTTGCTTTATTATAAAACAAAATCTTTAGCAAAAAACTGCCAAAGGAAAACTTGTTTTTTTCTCAAGTGCAAGCTGGTTAGAAAAAGCCTAAAAATTGGCCCAGATCACTTTTTTAACGCAACTTTTGCAACAGAATGCGGCCGAAGTAAGCACTATTTTTCTTTTTTTAGGACAAGATCCTTGAATACGGACTATATTATGGCATAATTTGATTTTTCCCATTGCACTATGTACAAAAAAAGCGGCCATGGTAAGCATATATTTTTTTATCAAAACAAAATTTTTAAGAAGGGTTTAAACAAAGGTCTAATTGGCTTTTTCATAAAACATGCTAAACATGCGTAGCAAAAAGCGCCCATAGGTAAGCAATTTTTTTTTTAATACAAATTGCTCAGAAAAGGTCTAAAAATTGGCCTAGATCACTTTTTCTTAACGCAATTTTCGCAATAAAAGCGGCCAAAGTCAGCACAATTTTTCTTTTTTGTTAGGCCAAAATTTGAAAATAAGGTCTAGTTTAAGGCTCAAAGTGATTTTTCGTAATGCAACATGTACATGCGAAAGCGGACAAGCTCACAAAAAACTTTTTTTTTTTCATTTCAAAATTTTTAAAAACAAGACTTAAACAAAGTTCTGGTTTGCTTCAAGCATTACACGACATAAGTAACAAAAAGCGGACAACGTATGCCTATTTTTTTAAATCAGAACAATGATTTTTAAAAAAGAGGTGAATAATGTTCTAGTTTTTTGCTTTATGCATAACACAACATGTGAAGCAAAAAGCACCTTAGTGGAAGTATGCCCTTTTTTTCAATTCATGTTGCCTAGAAAAGGCCGAGAGTTTGGCCTAGATAGCTTTTCAAAACGCAACATTCAAAACAAAAAGCAGCTAAAGTAAGCACAATTTTTTTTCGATCGGACAAGATTTTAAAAAAGGACTCCATTATGACCTAATTTGAATTTTCTTAAGGTAACTTGTACAACAAACAACAGACAAGGTAAGCACTTTTTAAAAATCATTACAATGTTTAAAAAAAAGACGTAAATAAACTTCTAAATTGCCTTACGCATAATGCAACATGTGTAACAAAAAGGTGCCCAGGTAAACTTACTTTTTCTTTTTTGTTGAGACAAGGTTTTAAAGAGTGCCTAAACTACGGCTTAGGTTGAGTTTTCATTACGCAAC